TACATAAATTTACCAATGAGTATACATATAAAATGTATAAAAACAATACTAGAATATTCATAAATAATATTAAGAAAAACTAAAGATACACAAGAAGCAGCAAAACCCCGCTATAAACCTACTCTTTCCACTTTTTTCCCGGTGCCTCTCCTAACAGATTATCCGGAGACCGTTCTATAAGCAATAACTCCTCATGAAGGGAGGAAACAAAGCCGACACGAACGTACGAACAACACTATTCGGGCGACCGCGACATGATAAAAATGAATTTTGACGAAAAAAACTCTTTTTCGGGCCCGCCGGTCTTGGGGGACACGAGCGGAGGTTCAACTTCTACAAGAAGTTATGTAACGTTTTGCGCGGCCCCGGGGAAGGGTGTAATAAAAACGTGACGGGAAAACGACGTTGTATGGCCGCAGGAATGGCTTTTGTAAAATTTTCCTCGTGTTTAATAGCCGCATTTAATTTCCCAGTTACACGAATTTCGCTAATTTTTACAATAATCGCCAATAAAACAATAGCTTTACAAAACTCGAAATTTACGTTGCTGTGTTATTTATCTCCCGTTTATCGCTTTTTAATCAGCGCTTTTTTATTGTCCTACTTCCTGTTGAATTGGGTTTTACACTGTGCTTTTGCGTACCGAACCCATCATGAATATAGATATTAAACAAATATTTGAAAAAAAAAACCGGCATCCCATCAACACGTTTAAAAATAATTCCAACACAACGTACACTCAAATGGCATCGATTTTGGAATAATCATTGTTTGTTTTCGTTCCGCGAAAATTATTTTCCTTCTCCCGATTGGCGTAAATGAAACAAAAATTTGCTCAGAGAGCGAACGACCTTAAAGGCCCGAAAGAAAACTTTGTTTCATTGCGCTTTATTCACGAACCCGATCACGTGATGTATCGGGAAACTGCGCTCGTCCATGCACACCTACACCCCCGTCGAGATTAAAGTACAAAACTCCGAGGCAGCCTTACCGGAATCAAACTTAATTAAGAATCGGTTGTTCTCTGTTCGCAGGCACTCGTTTGTTTATTCGGCGGAATAGAGCCAACTTGGGGGCTTCCTCTGCTCTATATGCCAGACAAACGTCGTGTTTTTGTAATTAAGGTAAACGCTCGAAGGTAGAACGCAGACATCGCGGGGCTTCGCGGTAGCAATAAAATTATTAGGGCTCCCTCAAAGAAACGATTCCTATATATACCTACCAATTCTTATTATTATAATCTCTTTTGTTGATACGAGATTCGAAATTAATACCCACTCTTCGCGAGATTAATTTCATTAATACAAAACTCCGCGCTTTTGTTGTGTCCTTTAACTATAACGAAGAAAAAAACATAAACCCGATGATGCTTTTTTGCGCGGATTAAAACTCAAACAGCCGCTTTTTAACCCGATATTATCCTTTTTCGCAGTCGATCCGGGAGTCTTGGAATTTTTTAAAAGTATCGGAAAACTTAATTATGTTTCAATTTGGGCACACTTCATTAGAGCGGCGGCGAAAACTTTCGGAATTACTTAAGGAAAATGCACCGAAGCGCTTCGACATCGATCAATCATTTTTTCTCTGACGGATTGCACTCGATCCGGCCCAAAAATCAGACCTGAATGGGTTTTGAATGTTGAGAGAGTTTCCAGAAAACTGGAATGATATACAAAAAAAATTGTTAATAACTAATTGTTATAAGCCCAGCTTCAATTCTATGAATAATTTTCTTTGTTTGGGGTTATATGGTGTGTAAATGACTGAGCGATATTTATGCACAATTTACACATCTCCTAGGAGTATTGTAGCATAGGTGACGGTTTTGTTATGTTCCCTCGATGATATCTAATCATTTGTAGGGCGCACGCACTTTGTTAACCATTCGACTCGTAAATTAAACGCCCTTCGCTTACAAAACGGGGCCCTTCCATTCCGTGACTATAAACGGCAGATAATGAAATGCATTGCTGTGTTTTTTCCGCGGACAAAACCCTGTTTGTTTACCGCGAATATTTCACCCGACAAATTTATTAGTTAGCGAGCTAAAGAGATGCCGTAAGTTGGGTAGAGTACTTTGATGTAAAAATTGTTACTTCGTTGGTTTTCCGGGGCAAATGGAAAAATTTGATAATGCATTTTCCTCTGCGAGGAAAACGCAATTAGAGTTCTAACTATTTGCCGCGGTCTTTGGAACTTGCTGCCGGAGTTTATTGAATAATTTGAAGTTTTCAACTAGTCGAACGGGGCTTGTCTTAGACGCGAAAATGAAAAACTGCAGAGGGCGAAAAATAAAGAAAGCTCTGGTTGTATTGAGATGAAAAATTGAATTCGAGTCTTGCGATTCGATTAATTCGATTTTACAAAAGCATTGATTCAGCTTATTCGCAGGCTCCATCGACTGTAATTTCCTGCAATGCACTTCGGGCTGGAGCTCTAGAGGATCCTTCGTTCCCGCGCCGTGAAATTTTCATTAGATACCCTGTATAATTCAGTTTCAGACAAATAATCATTTAACTAAATAACCGGGCTGGGAAACTCATATATCTGCCTGTCTAAGCCTATTAGTCAAAGGCCCATTAAGGTCTCGGAAGTAAATAAGTAATAGTGCCTTTCTGGTCGGGCTCGAGGGACCTCTGTAAGATCGCAAAATACTCGCGTTACAAATTAGGCCGAATCCCGTGGATTCTTCGACTTCCGAAAAATACGCCAATTTATTATTAAGAGCCGAAAACGAGCGCCATTCGCAACAACAACGACCATAATCTCCACTTCCTCGTTAATTAAAACACCTATTATTTCATACAGTCGACACGTTCGAGCGCCCGAAAATTGAAGATCCATTTTCGAGCGGAAGAAAAACGACGAAATCGACAGAAAAGCATATCCCGAGGCCGAGGTGTCATGGCCGCCGATAGAAGTGGTCTTCATTATTCCGGTCAGGTAGCAAGGGACTTCGTTTTACCGGTCACTTTCATTATAAGGTTGAAAATATCAGGAGGCAATGCAATTAACAACGGCCAATTCAACTCTGCAAAAGGGGCAAGGAGCGGTGAAATGTGAAAAGTCATAGGCGTACCGAAAATTTCGGATTATTCTAATTTCCAATAAAGTTAATTAAAGGTACATACATATGTACATCGAATTATATTGCTTGTGAATATTTCGTGTGTTTCGAGTGTTCCCTCTTATTCGCTAGTTTTAATCATTGATACCACTTAAAAAACCCAATTTCGACTCGAACATTTTACCTCTGAAAAACCATTTCGTTAATTACTCACTATCTCGAGCGTATTTTGACTATTAACAGAAAAAAAATTAGGGTAGCGCTTTCGAAGCGAAACACGCTATTTTATTTACGCGAATTGATTAGTGAAACTGCATTAAACTCACCCACAGCACAGCAATAGTTGCCCCTACACGCTTCCGAAATACCTGCGGAAATTACATGCGCAAATACACTAATCTTGATGAATCCGGTGCTAAAAAGATCCGGATCCCGAGACGTACTACCTCCACCTCTCGTGGTTCCAAGAAACCCGGAAAAAATTTAATTTATCACGCGGGGAAATCCGGCGATACGAGACGGGCTTCGGGACGAATAATGGGCGGCTCGACAAATAAGAACAGCGAGTGCCGGAGAAAAAAAGGAAGACGAGTCGCGCGATAATCCGGATTAAAAATGAGATACGCGCGCCCTCTACGGTGACGCGTGTCTGCGGCGCGAATTAATCCGAACCAGAGCCGATAAAATATCGGTTTAGGTTGGCACTACCGCTCATTCGGGCGTCAATTATTCCAGTTGCTCACACTCGCATAATCCACTTTGAGCCGGATTCCTTGAAGGCTGAAATTGGAATGACTCTAATTAGAATAAACATGCAGAGAGAGGGTTATATATTACAATCGAATTTGGTTCCGTTTTGGAATTGTACGATGATATCACGTAGACGAAAGATCCATCAATACGAGTGAATGTACTGGAGTTATAAAAATATCTATCTTATTGCTTCAGATTTCGGACGAAATTCCATTTCGAAATAATTAATTAAAACAACGAAGGAAGAGAGTAAAAAAAAACGATAAGAATCTGCCTCTTCTCCGTAAACACCGGATTTATGTTATAAAAGTTTTTCGATTCGATTCGATTCGAATAGTTAATGAAAGCACGATATTCCTGCGGAGTTCGCGAGTTTTCCGTACGCGCTTCTGCTCTGCCCCGTTCTGGTTCTGCTAGCAGAACGGGAAGCCAAGAGGCGTCCGATTGTGAATAATCGACGGAATCGCTATTGAGTAGCAGTCCTGAACCAGTGGCGTGCCCTCCCCTAATTTCCCCGTCCTAATTTCGAACCGAGCTTTTAGAGCTTTGGCGCAAAAATAATCGAGTCCCCGAAGCACCCGCTTAGTGTAACCCCTGTTGGAATATTGTAAGAAATAAATTAATAGTTTGTGATAATTTTTGAATTAGTGAGGTTTGAGCACCCCCATGAATCTGTTTCGGACCGAATTGACTTAATGCAAACTTTATACATACACAAGAAGAAGAAGGCAATCGGGCTGAGGGCCCTACAGTAACAGAAACGAGGCGAAATCAAAGGAAATCGGTTCATTTGATTTTTTTCTGGCTCTCGAACTCTGTCGAAATTTAAATAAGGCTTCTATCGTGTACACACCATCTTTCTTCCTCTGTCTTTATCCTATTTTTAGCGGCGGCGATAAGGAAAACTGCGGGTCTTATCGTTTATACGTGACTGCCGGAATATTTCGATTGCGTTCGTTTTAATCGCGTTTAGCCGGCTTCGTTACGCGAATACTGAAGAACTATCCAATTTTGCAATATTAAATTCCGCTATAATATAAAATACGTACACGTACAGGGCAGGTTATTCCCGATAATTTCTCTATTCGAAGAGTATCCTGTATAATTCCAGTAAATACGCGAGTTCCTTCATGTATGAAATTGTTTCTTAAATAGATTAAGTTTCTTAATTCTGTTGCAGTGTCGTCGGCTGTGAGTTGGGAAGAATGGTGGACTTATGACGGCATTTCAGGTAAGTTAATTTTCTGCTTTACTTCTTTTTTACTTTTTGGGTAAATTGACTTGTTGAAGACTAGAAAATTCGTCTTTTTTAGTAGACATCAAGTATAATTGGCTAAAACTCTTTTCCCCCGCGACTTCTCTGTTGACGAATTTGTAATTATAACACGCTAGTAACTTTTTAATAACGGCGAAAATGCAGCATTCGACGAGAAAAAGGGTCGTTTTTCGTTTTTGCGATGCAAATACCGCCCGTTTCGCTTTTCCATGCAGGAAATTCGTGCGAGTCAATCAGCGAAAGAACAAAAGCTGGAGGTCTTACGTAAAACCTGTCCAGGTTAGGTTTGTTCATTTCCTATCTTTCAACGCTTGATTGATGTGCGGGAACTCCAAAACTTCTGATATGCCGAAACTTTCCTTAATAAATATGTTCGTGAAATTTCAGCTAGATTAATTCCTGATTTGGGTCCGGAATGTTGCTCTATTAAACTTCCTATTATAGCTATTACCGTTTGGAATAAATATGTCATAATACGATACAGAGTGGCGTGGAATTAATCTATAAATCTGCAAATTTTAGAACGTTTTTAGCGCAGGATTATTGAATTAATGCGATTTTGAAATGTTTCGTAACAAATACGGCATACAACATGAAACGCCAACATTATAGTGTAAACATCCAATAAGTTTTCCCTTACACCTGTTACAATAGCGCAAATTTATGATGAATGTGCGGGGATACGTTTTTAGAGCGAAAGGGAGAAAACATGACGGGAATGAAAATATTCGCCGGAGCTAATATTACCGCAGAGTTGGAGACTTTCCCATGAAATAGTTTGTCTTTGTACCAAGAAAATGGTTTTTTTATTGCATTATTTAAGGGAAACATTCGGCTTTATAGTGAGTTTGCATGTCAGGGCAATTTGTTTAAGCCTTTCGCTACGACGAAAATCGTCTTGCAGATTAGGATATCGCATATTTTTATCGGTATATGACGAGTGGAATTCGTCATATATAATTTTCTATTTCTACTAAGGTTTTATTGAAAATAAAACAAAGTGAACACCTGTCTTTTTTACCCTACAAAAATCGTGGAAAGTTCACCAAAAAATTTTTGTTTAGTGTACTAATTCACAAATAAAAAACGAAAGTCCCCTGCACTCACACTGTGTACCAACAAAATTAAAATCAAACTGATAAATTAAAAATTGATCGGTTTTCATCTCAAAAATCTTCTGCATGCCCTTTATTTATCTATCTCCCGTTCGATTCCATTGCAGTGTTCTGGTCTCGCCCTAGATAGCCATAATTTAATGCGGCTGTCGAAAAAAAAATATCGATACACCGCCAAAAAAATATACGGCAAACACCCTTTCGGTGGCGAATTTCTAATCTCGAAACATATTAATTTTGGACGTCAAGCACCTCTCTCAGCGCGAATTTGACGATAATATTTATTATATCTTCGGATATGTCTGGGGCTTGCGAAATCATAAATCAAAAGTCCTTCAGTGTGAAAAGTTTCATTCTGTTCTGTCGGCACAAAAGAGAAGCCCTTGTCGATGAAACTCTTTTTTCCCGAGGTTGTTATTGAAACATTTTAATAAACCCCGAACTTCGGCCGGAAAAAATCGCCGCGCTCGATTCTTAATGATACTGCGGGGTTTTTTCGGATTCAAGTTTGTTGCATTAATTGAATAATGAGCAAGAAACGGGCCCGATCGATCGACGCGCGTTTTTTTTATTTAATTTTCCCGCCAGTCACCAGCAAATTTCTATAAATATCCCCACGAATAATGGTTTAGGCGGGACCGGATGCTTATAAATTAAAAATGCACATACCCGCTTCTATAGGTATAGAATATATTTTAAATTTCCCACCCATTCTAACCCAATGTCACTTCCAACGAATGTCGTTTATCCTCGAAAGCTCTGCTGGTTTATTTAAACCCGTTTTATGAACGAAACAATTTAAAATTTTCGAACCCGGTAGGCGGACATGTTCTCTCTCTTTATGGATCGGTAGGTAGAATTAAATTCAGCTCAGTTGAATACAGCTGTAAAAATGCGCACAGACGAAACTAAAGAGATAGGCGTGGTTTTACCCCAAAAGTATGACCGGCGAACCATCCACAGTATACCCGATAACAGCGAAGGTCGAGTCGGGGTTTATTTGTAATTCATTATTTGTTATTTGCATCGAAAACATCGGCTGAGCCCAGCCTCTTTTATGATGTTGTGCGCGAAAAAACACGTGGTGTATTCAACTAAGCTGAATTTAACTGTACATGCATAAAAATTCAGAGAGGACATTTTAAATTTGAATTAAGCGAATGATTTTGGAGTTATCCTAATGAATTTTCCTAATTATCAATTCAGGATATTTATTATTCATATACTCTGTATTTTATTGAATTTAGAGGTGGGTGGGTTGGTATATTTTCGGAGATGGAAGTATCCTAGACTATTCTGACTATAAATCGTGGACTTTATTTCTACTGTAGTCAGCGAAAGAGCAAAATTTCGCGTCAGGAAACGCTACACGGTCTACTAATAAACCTTATTAGTTTCCATAATAATTTACATTATCGACAGAATGTAATTTCGTTATCTGCACAGCCACATGCTGAACGAAACATCATGCAGATATCTATACAAAATATGACTTGTAACCCTCTCTAAAGATAATTTTACAGGATGAAAACGCTTCCGGAAATTTCGTAAAATAAGATGACAGTTGTTTTATTTTTTTTAATACTTTTGTTTTAAGGTTTCCGTTTTTTTTTAATTAAAATGTTTACATCTACCCCAAATTCATCCTTATTCAAAATAAGTATTAAGGTATTTTGATACTTTTTTAATGTAAGTAATTTACATTATTGTATTTGCTTTCCAGAGGGATTTTATTCAATTTGCTTCCTCCATTATTTTTCCATTTACAATTACGTAGTTGCAAATTGCGTTGAATTTGGTGCTACGCAAAAAATATTACATGCTGGATTTCATGTATTCGATTTTTATAAAAACAAGAGTTTTAAAAATATACATAATTTTAAAGCACTTGACAATTTTAATATATGTTTTTATCGTGTACTCTCCGGGTAAAATAAAACATGCATCCGATAGTAAAAATTCGAAATAATGGTTGAATTGAGTGAGCTATCCCGTATAAAATGAGACTCGTTAGCATCGAGACACGAACCTAATTTAATTTCGACGATATTGTCACATATATTTGCGCAAGCGGCCAAGTTAAATTATGGCGAATTTCAGCGACACAATTTCTATTACACACTACACATAGGTTTGTTGATCTTTGCTAATGGAACAACCTGAATATTTTATAAGTAGTGTAAGTGAACATCACTATTAAATTATACTAGATAAGTAACTACCTATACTATATTTTCATTATGGAATTTCGACGTTGAAAATAATCCTAATGGCATATTGTAATCGAATTCGCATTCATATAAAATATTCATCAAAAAGTGATATATTTATGTTAATAGGATTTTAAAATTAAATCATATTTTAATTGGAGCTAGGAACATTATCTGTGCACAAACTAAAGCGTGCGCCAAATTGAATCAAATTCCAATAAGTAAATTTTATGGAATAGGTATACCCGACATGAGTCATGCAACATCCCTAATTATTACCCGTAATCAACCTTCTACCTAATTCGTTAACGAAACTTAATTTTCCAAATTAATTGCTAACCCGGTTAAATTGCTGTACATGCGATCCGTTTTTAAGTAATAAACGGTCGTTGTTAAAAACGCAATTTGTTGATTCTTCAAGGTAATTAGAGTAATTGCATTGCGGTTCGTTCGCCAACCGAAAGTTTCGAGTCATTTATTTAAATATCGAGAGAAATTAGGAAGGTACATCATAATCTCCGTTTCTGCTAAATGAAATAATCGCAGCAGGATTAAGTTACGGCAACGGCGCGGCCCTAAGTAGGTACAAAAGCCCTATTTAGCAATTATGAAAATCGGACGTGAAAAGGCCGACCTTTTCCCCACGGGTAGTGGCAGTAAACCGTCAAACAAGAGAGGTTAAAATAGCGCCCTTAACAAGCAATAAATAGGCCTGTTTCCGGCAAATGATCCTTTACAAGAACTCCATGGGCGTACGTACCCGAAGAAAAACTTTTCCAATCCAATCTATAGCTAAAACTGAGTATAGATTTGTCAAGATTTTCCGACCTATACATTCAATTAATTCAATAAAAAAAATCCACTCAAAAATAAATTTACTTATAGGTGTTAATTTCCATAAATCATCGACTGACTGGAAAAATTTCTAGATAAGTTCTTGTTTTAGAAAATTTAGAATATTTTAAACGTTACTGTTAACATTTTCTTATTTTTGAAAACTTTCAACTTATCCTTTAGTGGTAAGCACAATCTACGTATCTAAAAGGCAAAGGAGTTTGTTTGCGGCGTATTCCCGTGGTATGAAAAGTATTCGAAATTCACCGGGAATAGTATGGATAACTTTTAGCACGAAACCGCAGGGTAGAATAATGGTAATTTATTTAAGAAAATTTCTATATAATGAACAATTTAATATTATCTAAGCATTCCTATTGCCGATGCTCGCATTAGGCGAACTTTTGTTATTAAATATTTGAATGGCGTTGAAACGGGTTGATGGGAAACGGGAAAAGGGAAACGGGAAACAATCGTCGATTTAACATCCCTAATAAACAATGAATAAATTATCTCGTGCCCCGATGACGCATATTTACCGAAAATTTTAATATCAATGCATATATAACTAAATAGTCGAGAATGTCTCTTACATTTTCCGACTACAATAAACAGTTCTGAATTTGTAATTCTATTAAAATAAACCCGATGAAAATTCGTTGCGCTAAAATAACAAAATTTCATCACTCAAACCGGTAAGTGTTTATACTAATTTTCCCTACTTCGGATTCATTACATTTCGTTCATTATCCCTTCACGATTTTTGCCCGAATGCTAGCCATATAGATAAATCTGT